TATCTATCTATCTATCTATCTATCTATCTATCTATCTATCTATCTATAGGAGAAGTGAATAAAGCTGTACTTGTATCTAAACGTTTAAACAAACATATATGATGGTATACAATACATTTTGGGTATTATACCAAAATGTATACCATCATATATGTTTGATACTCCAACTATATTCACGTGCATCCAGAGCAAGATTGTATTTTCACCACGATAATGGTCTTTCAAAGGTTGTTATTTGCTCCCCTCTAGTGGTGAGAGCCACTCAATACTACCTGCTCTGATTTGGCCCAAAGCCAGCAATGTATTGCTCCCTCTGAACAATGTTTTCACAAACATCACTGCCTTACTTATCAAGATAAAATTGTGGTAATCAATATATTCTTTACAGTGCACTTTCAATAATATGTTTTCAAAGCAAAGAGCATGGAATAGTGTCCCAGGGTGTAACCAGCGGTTAACTTCTAAAAAAAAAAAAAAAGATACAGCTCTGTTTACTCATTAAGAGGCATTGATATTGATTGTGTCAGCTTAACCAAATTGAAAGAAACCAGGTGGAAATAATCAAACAAAACATTTGCCACTTTAAAATGACCAAATGCTCTTCAGCTCAAAACCATACACATCCTATAATCTCCAGTTAACTTTGATACATAGATAAATTAACATTTCTGAATCAGTCTGATTTGGAACAATTCTGCAAAGAAAACTACAAAGACCTACCCTTCATAACAAGTAATAGTATTTATACTGTAATTATTGATGGTATAATTATAATTAGGCCTGCAATGGACTGGCGGACCATCCAGAGTGTACCCCGCCTCACACCCATTGACCACTAGGATAGGCTCCAGTTCCCCCCGCGACCCCATTAGGGAATACACGCTTACGACAATGGATGGATGGATGGGTGGATGATAATAATTATGATGATTTTTGCTGCAAACATCTATGTTTTTGCTGCATATACAAAAAAAATGCTTTTAATGGTTGTTTTCAACATTACTGTTTCAATAGGTATCCTTTCATCATTGGTAATGTCTAAGTTAGTTTTTTTTTTTTTCCTATGTGTATTTTTCATTAACTCAATTGTCCTCCCCCACACACACTTTTGTGTGGCTTATGTTATGTTTGTTGGCTTTCTTGTCCCTTACCCTAAATATATTGTGTTTATTATCAACGGAAATAAAGACAAACAAAATAATGCATTTATTCAAATACTATGAGTAATAATAATAATAATGTCAGTTTGAGCCAGCTAGTTTATCCTTCCATCTACTTATTTTGTGGTAAAGCTTGGTTTAATATATAAAAAGTAATAACAGTGAAATAACAAAATAAGGTAAAATACAATTTACTCATAAGTAAATTTACCAAATGTTTAGTTCGGAGTAGACAATGAAAACATAAAGAGAGTTTATATATATAAAGTTATAGGGCTACAGTAAAGATGGAAAAGTGCACCTTATCAAATCTCAACTATAACATTTTATACAAGCTGCAACACAGTGAAATGTAAAATATGTATATATATCATTTCTCAAGGGCTGTGCTCTATTGCTCATATGCTGATTTTTTATGTGCACAGCAGTTTTGAAAGTTTGGAAACCTATTGATTACACTACATGTTCACGTAGGTGTTTGAGTATAGTTTGAGAAATGGGACTACATGTTTGAGGCTGTATTTAATCTACCACCGCAAAGTCGTTCTTGTTCTCGCTGCAGCCGTTTCCTCTGCTTGTGCCTTTTTCCAGTTGCAAAAATGTCAAGGACAGCCAAAAATGCACATGCGCACGAATATGCAGCATGCACATTTTGCTGGCAAAGACACACAGGCATGTTGCATTCAAGCTCCTATTTTAATATGGATATGGACTAGCATGTAGTCAAAGTGCCCTATGGGCTGACCATATCAGGTTGTGACATTTGCATTTGACAGGGTTAATGCTAGAGAGGATGGAGAGATACAGAAAGAAAAAAAAATGTTTTCCCCTCCATTTTTCTCTTTCAAGCCTTCCCTCTCTGTTTCCCTCCTCCAGTCCCATAGATGTGGTGCTTAAATTAAAAAGGAAGAAATGCAATTTAAAGACATGGGGTAAACAATCAGAAAACACTTGTTTCTAGAGGAGAGACAATTTCCTGGTACCTTGTCCAATTTCTTATGGCCTGGAGGGCTGCCGCATGCGTTTTAACACCTGGTTCTACACCACTGATTAAAATTGTAATGCTGGTGTTGAATCAATCCATATGACATTTTGGAAATACACAACTATCAGGACATTTTATATATACAACTTTTTTTTCTGTTGTTATTTGAAAATACAAAGGTGCAAGGTTGTGACTGGCAACGGGTGCCAGTATGCCTTCCAACTGTTTTCAGGGATTGTTTGTGGGGAAGTTTCAACATCCTGAACAAATATAAATATACTGTAGCTCTTATACTGCATTTCTGAAAAAGAATACAGTGTGTTGTGAAAATAGAACAATTGTTAATGTATTTGAGAGGTTAGGTCACTGTTGTTAGAATGTTTATTGGTTTGTCTCACACAGAGGGAAATTCTGAGAAATTATTTTTATAGAGCATCTGAATCAAGTCCAGCCTTTTCTATTCTTGACACCTACTCTTCTTCACAGCCTTCGTTTGAGATGACACACATTTTGAAATGAGCTCATTGAAATCAGCCATGGGAATTCAGTGAATTGAGCGTTACTACATTACTTGGAAACAAAAAAAGAGTAGATGGCTCTTTGTTGATATGAAATACCACAGCTCAACCCCAGATTGAGAGTTAAAACAAAATTTAAGGGCATCGTAAAAATTGTAGCAGCTAAAATGAATAAAATGAAAAGGGAAGCGGGAGAATGGGAGCACAGGATAGAGTGTCCAGATATTTGTAGCATTATTATATCAGTACAGCCCCCCAGGCTAAACATCTGAGGCAGAGAGACTGACGCACTGTTGTTTGCTTCACACCACAGAAATGTTTTACCAGTCCTTGCGCCCGTGTCAATCAATGGCCGGCATGTTCAGAAACATATTCAACACACAAAGAGAACAGTTTGGCTTGAGGAAATGGATTGTGCCTGAGATTGGCAGGGGGCTCTCTGGATGTGTCAATCACCACAAGACTGTTTCACCCCAGTCTCAAGCTACAAGTACATTTGTTTTTATGCAATACAAAGAAATGCACTTTTACCTTTTGTTTTATATTTGGCTGTGAGAGTAAATTTAGGAAAAATGCTCTCTAAAGTGCAATTCTGCAGAGTGTGTTCTCAAAAGCCCACAGGTAGGAGGAATTCACAGTAGTCACCTCTGTGCAGAGGGTTTAAACGAAAGCACAAATCTACACATTTCATGATGTGCTGACGATGAGTGAAGGATGAAGAGAGTCGGGGTGGGAAGGCAGTGAGATTGGAAACGTTTGAAACTGCAATTTCACAGAACGAGCATTTGAAATCTGAGAGCTCCCGGTCCTCTCTTTGGCACGGCATCTAAGCAGCTTCTCTCATTTTTTTTCATCTCTTTCCTCTCGTCCCTTGTCCTTTCTTCCTGTCTGGCCTCTCCAGGTGCCACACTATCTCATAGCAAGCACAGGAATCTGTGAGCCATGTACATCGACGGCCCTTTGAAAAGGGAAGCCACTGCGGCGCTCATCCTGGAAAGCACCGTCCATAGTCCTCTATGTTCCTCGCGGAGATGAAGGGGGCTCTTGCTCGAGGAGCAGGTTTTTTGTAACCAAAGCCACATGTTGGGCTGGACAGCCAGTTGTAAGACAACCAAGATCTTTGTGGTGAACACAAGTGCTTGGCTGTCCTCTGGCATGCCTGTCTGTCAGCATTGTTCTGCTGGCTGGACACCTGTAAAACTGTAATTTTACACAGGCAAGAAAAAAAACAGAGGTTCAGAGGGATGGGGAGGGATTATTCTTAAAGAATCAGTAAGTGGTGCTGGAGTGCCTGCTCCTGCAGGTTGTGTCTTATGAAAGAACAGCCATTCTTCATCTCAAAAGAGGACTTGAGCTCATTATATCATTTAGTTTAAAGGCATGTGTCTTGCATTAAAAGCTGCTGCACAGCGATGACCGTGTTGAAATCCCTCTGAAATTATTTAGGCACTCAGAAGATGTTTTTTTTTTGGCCTTCCGAAGGAAAGTAACAGAGAACATTTTAATGGGACAATGAATAGAGACACAAATTGTAAGAGGGAAGTAATGGCCTTGGAATGCCACTGGATGACAGAAAGCAGAGGGAGAAAACACTTAAACTCGTCAATGACTTTGCACACTTGAACACACACACACTCCAAATACTCATGCATTGTCTGCTACCTACAGGACTGGACTGTTAGTTGACAGAAACCATTCATCTGTCTCAGTGCTAAAATCACGATAAGACGGGCATGCTTGATGTCAGTCTGCCTGTTTATTTCTGTATCTAAGATAAAACGTTGCTTAAACTCAAGGAATTTCCTGATGATGGGCCTTGAGGCTGTGATCATGAGTTGTAGCTTTAAACATCAAAAACACTGGTTGAGAACATGATCTTTGAGAAAGCAACATTCTGTTTTTTGAAGCATAAGATAACATTGCAAACACTGGTATATGGCAAGTTTTGAGCTACATAATTTATCTTGAATAATGCATTATGCATATGATTGGGTCTAAATGATACTCACTCAAGGCCACACCCATCAGTGAAGAGGTCTACATGTTTAAAGAAAGTGTATGCCCCAGATTTA